ACACACACACACACACTACTGTCATTGACAAGTCATTGTATTCTTCAGTCAATGTAGGAAAAAGAAAATGACTTTATATAATAAATCTGAATCATTTTGAACAATTCTCTCCCCGTCTACATGACACTATGTCATGCTTCCCCTCACTGCTCTCTCTCGCTCCTCTCTGTCTCTTAGGTGTTTGAGGCTATGATAGCTTGGATCAAGCACGATAAGCCAGCACGTCTAGAGTACATGCCCAAACTGATGGAGCACGTCAGACTTCCACTACTCTCCAGGGATTACCTGGTACAGGTAAAAGAAATGTTCTGCTCTGCTCTGTTTTCGCCCTCTCTCTTTTTTCTTGACTAACACCAAACACTTGTGTGTGTCCATGAAGATTCTCAGTCATGCAGATTACAGGAACATTTACTGTAGTAAGTAAGGCCTGAAGATGTTCCACTAGTTCTCCAACAGCCATCTTGATTAGTGTAAAGTCCACATATGGAGTTCACCAACATGCTTCAGTTCTGGTTTAAACTGAAACCAATACACAGTATCCTCTAGAGGTCAAAATAGTTCAAGTTCATTTCCACCACAGAACATTTGACCATTTGTTAAATATCAGACACATTTGCGGTCTGCCTCTCCTCCTTTCACTGCACTACAGTGTCTTCTGTTAGAAGTTCAAATAAGCCACCACGTTTTCTAAATAAGGTAGGAAGTAGGGGAGAGTTCTCGGTACTGACCCGCTGCATGCGTACACTGAAGTACAGTACCCAGGTCACTACAAAGTATCTAAACCCTTTCTCCAGTTACCAGCCTTACCTGCTTACTGTGTAAATGTAAATGCTTTGTACGACAGTCTTGTGGCATTGTTTTTGTTTACTAAAGAAATGTGATCCCTGTTTCAGATTGTCGAGGAAGAGGCTTTGATAAAGAACAACAACACCTGTAAAGATTTTCTAATAGAAGCAATGAAGTATCACCTGCTGCCAGCCGACCAGCGGCACCTCATTAAGACGGACAGGACCCGACCACGAACTCCTATCAGCATCCCCAAAGTACACAAAAACAAACTAAATACACAGTCACACTCCTCATAATAAAGAGCCCTAAACACAAAACTCTTGTGTACCTCACCATAGCGAAACACACTGACTGTAATTGTAACACTGACTGTGTGCTTGTACAGGTGATGATTGTGGTGGGCGGTCAGGCTCCCAAGGCGATCCGCAGTGTGGAGTGTTATGACTTCCAGGAAGATCGATGGTACCAGGTAGCCGACCTGCCTTCAAGACGATGCCGGGCAGGTGAGCCTGTGTTTGTTGGGCCGTCTGTGACTCTTTATATTTCTTTATATTTATGTCAAATCTGACTCTGTATGATCCAATAATTCTACTATTTTCCTCCTGTCAGGATAAACTCTTGACTAGACACTATAAATAATCCCTGGTGGGATTTGTGTCTACAGTTCCTCAGACACTTTGCTGTATAATTCAACAACACCAAAAAATCCAACGTGTTAAATTCCTAATTCTCAGCAGATAAAGCCTCCTATAAAAAATGGATATTATGCTAAGTGTATAGTCTATTTATTTATTCCATCATCATTTAAAAACATAAGGCAGTTGTTAAGAGGGGTTTGTGAGTAAATATTAAGATATTATTAAAACATGCACCAGATATGACATTTGATTAAATGTTTTCTGTGACGTTCACTGTGTCATTCAAGATTCACATCTCTGCAAGTTGATTCTTATACTGCAATAAGTTGAAACTGTGTTTTATAACATAAAGAATAAGCTATATGTTGTTAACAGGCTTAAACATGCACAAACAACAGTATGCTCCTTTACACATTTCGTTGTGTATGTGTCCAGGTGTGGTGTCCATGGCAGGTCGTGTGTATGCAGTCGGCGGGTTCAACAGTTCGCTGCGGGAGCGAACAGTGGACGTGTACGATGGAGTGAGAGACCAGTGGAGTGCGGTGGCGAGCATGCAGGAGAGACGCAGTACGCTGGGAGCTGCTGTGTTGGGCGATTTATTGTACGCTGTGGGGGGCTTTAACGGAAGTATAGGTACACACACACACACACAAGTGCAACTAAAGCAGTTAACGACTTTATTTCTTGTCCACTAAAAATGGTTCCTCCTGTACATTTTTGAATCTTAAAGTGAGAAGTCAGTTTCTTTTTCTTTCAGTCACAACTCAAGGTTGTAGTTTAACGTTCAACAATTCTTTTGTGATCAATTTTCTTTCATGATTTGAACCAAAGAAATGTAGACATACAATCAGCAATACAGCAGTGAATAATAGTATCAAGTAACAAAACACAATATTTGCCTTCTACATCTAGACTTTCTAATGTTGAAGCCTTTATTGCATGAGGATTATTTAGGCTGTAAAAAACATTATTATGACCTAAAGTGCTGACAACTGTTGTATATTAGTATCTCAATCTAGGATATATAAGATGGTAAGATTACAGATGCAGATTCAAGATGAAGCCCTCTAACTATACCTCTAAACTATTTCCAGCTGTAGAAAAAACGTGGGAAAATGAGATATGGAAGTATACAAACTCAGTAAAGAAATGCCTGGAAAAGATTCAACAGAAGTAAACAATGTGCGGAAGTAATGTGAGGCGGAAAGACTTACTCAGCAAATAACTGATGTGTGACTATATAATGATAGCATCATTATCTGGTTGATTACCACATGAGTGTGAGCAGAATATACTGCCTACTATAGTGTTTCCAGTTAACACAGGCGATATGGGAGCCATTTTCTTCTCTTCTCCTAACACGTCCACCAGCTGGATGCCAAACGTTCACACCTAAAAACACACACAC